GGACGAGATGGTCGGACGGATGTGTGTTGTGGATTTAAATTACTGTTTGAAAAGACATAAATTAATTATGTTTGTATTATGTTTATTTAAGCTTCCGCAGCATTAAATTACTCCGTTACTATTTTGAATTAATTATTATGAAATAAAGTTTTAATTGTTTGAAATATTTTGAATGTTTACGAATACCAAGTTTATACTTTAGTCCGAATGGGGCTGCAGACCTGGACGGATTAGGGTGTTACATCATTAGTCTTTTAAGACCAAAAGAAGTTTACACTGACTCACCACATTGTTATAATGTAATTGCCACACTATCACCGCCAGACTGTCATCGGTCGTTGTCGGCCACTAGACTGTCACCGCGGATCACTGACAGTTGATTGATCACACTGTTATATTACATGTTATCACTTTTCCTTCACATTGCCAACGCGTACTAGTATACCACAGTGTAATTCTATTTTAGTTTTAAAAGACTTAGGACTCATATTTTGGTATCTCCATACTTGTTTACTCCTATTTAGAAATATTTCTTATTAAGAAACTATCATGTTGAAAAAATTGAATTTGTGCAACCTAGGAATTCTAAGAAATCTATAAATAATGTTGTCAAATTTAAGAAAAATAATTTTTAGATTACCTAAGAATAATTGTTTGTCGTCTAAGAATTTTAGAAGTCATAGACAACATTAACAAAATAGGAAAAAGGATTAAAGTATGAGTAAATCTTAGAAAATATACCAAGATATAAGTTTCATATTTTTATTTCCAAAATATGAATTAAAATGCACATATAGTAGAGCTACTATTTTAGTACTTTTTTGTTGGATATATGAGCCCTAGAGGTCAATGTATGAGAGTATTTGAATACTCATCAAGAATAAAAGACCATAAAGATTGTTTATACGTCCCGTGTATCTAAACATGGTTTTAGTCCATAGACTTAGTGCTCTGGTAGCATAGAATAGAACTACAATGTTCTGATTATGAGCATATTACATTAATAGAGGCTATGTCTAAAATGTCCTTAGTCGAATATTATGATAATACAGACTTCATAATATACTAAGACTAATACGTATGATACAAGATAGTTGCGTCTCATAGGCTACGGATATTGTGATATCTTAATATATACGTAGGTACATATCTGGGATATGGTACTGGACTGACCCACCATGAGAACACTACATGGGTATTATTTTAAATGTGTAGTATTCTCATTCGACCTTTGGTATAACTATCCTTAGACTTGAGGTCATTATGATCTTTAATATGTTGACCTATATGCTTTGATTCATATCCAATGTCATCTGAAATACTGGTAGACGTACAGTTATGTTTTGGTTATATACTTAAACATATGTAAACACATGAATGACAGAAATAATTTATCTCTTCTATTGCGATGAAGTGTAATGTCTTCGAACTCACTGATTGAAAAGTTTTACGGGGCGGAGGAAGTATTATTTAATGAAACTGTTAGAATATGCGCCCGATATTAGACAGGGGTTGGGTGAAGAGTATGACACGAGAATGTTGAAAAATAATTGCGAAATTAAAATCACGGGTTTAAAATAAAGTGCGAAGAACAAGACAAGGGTTTTATACTAGTTGTCTCAAGTTTTCCACTAACCTTGTTAAGCTTAAGGATTCTTAAAAACTTTTTACAACCGCTCGTAAATGTACCCTCTACAAGGTTTCAACCGCTCAGACTCCACACGCAAGACTTCACACCGCACGGTCTCCTCGCCCAAGACTTCAACTACTAAGACTATGGGTTCTTAGGAATCCTAATGCTCAATTAGAATAATTAGTTTTCTCAAACATCTCTCTTATGTTATGAACTCTATAAGAAGAGTGTATCAAGAGATAGAACATAATCTCTATGAACAACACAAAGTTATTCCTCAAATGGCTCAACAAAAGCTCTAGATTTGATGCACAAATGATATGAATATAATGATAAAGAATGAAAGGTGTTCATGTAAAAACAAGGCCAAAGACCTCTATTTTTTTTGCTACAAGGGGTTGTGACTGCTGCTTATTGATTGGGAATAAATCAAGTAATTAAAAAGTCAAAGATTGAATTTTGATTGCCTGATAATTGATTATCCATATGAACATAATCGATTATCTGGAGATCTTTGACTCAAACGGTAAAAAATCTAGCCGCCAATGGATAACGGTAATTAGGATAATCAATTATGTCAAAAGTGATAATCGATTATCGACCATATTTGAAGTTTAAGGCGGACAGAGGGTGTATATTATTTACTCCCATTAAATTATTTTTATTACTCAACCTCTTCGTCCCAATTTAAATCGTGTGTTTTGGATTACGATGTTTGACTGAAATTGTTTTTCAATGCAATCCTTTATATATATAAAGTAGAGTCGGAGCTATAAGAACGTGACATTCTCACAAATGTGATTGTAATGTAAAGTTTATAGGTTAGCTAAGAATATGAGATTGCATTTATCTACACGCTCTTGCACTGATAGGGACACATAATCTTTTTCTGTATTGATAAGCAAAGTCAAAGATGGAAAACTTGGACAAGTGATCGATGAAACTGCTGACGTTGAAACCCGCTTGAATTCTTGATGCTTGACACAAGTTACCCCCTAAAGAGTATAGTGGACTTTACTTATCCAAACCTATTAGAAAACATGAAAAATTATTCTTTTTTGAAGATAGTGCATTATTAGCACCCACAATCGAATTTGTTAAATGACAAATGAATTTGTCATATCCCTTATTCTAAGAGGTAAAAAAGAGTACTTAAGTTCTCATTCTTCATGCCAAACATATTTAGATGTAGTTGTTGAAGACGATTAGATAACAGTTCAATTCTTCTTAATGAAATCAAATGTTAGGGGATTCAAACCATAAAATAGTATTTAAAAGGGGGTACCGATTATGTTATTGAAGAACATTGACCAAATATATGGATTGTGTAATGGTAAAAGATTAATCCTTAAAGAGATGTGAAAGAACATTATCAATGTAATTGATGTTTCGAGAAATCGCGTTGGAGAAAAAGGTTTACATACCCTGAATAAAATTTGGTATCATCTGATAGAATTCTCAATATAATAGTCTTATGTTTTGCTATGACTATAAACAAAAGTCAATGTCAAACATTGTCCTTTGTTATATTATTTTTAACCAATTCGGGATTTACTCATGGTTAGCTTTATGTTACTATTTCACGAGTAAAGAAAAAGACATGATTAAAAATATTGGTTCTACATGAAAATAAAAACGCTTACAACGATACAAAAGATGTTGTGTACACTAAAGTCTTTCAAAAAAATTGGAATTAAAAAAGATTTTTTCGAGTACACTTTCAATTTCTCAAATATTATATTCTACTTTGTCATTGTTTTCCATTGATTAAAATTTGTGACAGAAATATATTTACTTGATTTTGGAATAAATATTTCATTGAAAAATTTCAAAATCGACAACAGTTTCGTTCGACCCCGTGCATCGCACGGGTCAAAATACTAGTTTATTATAGAATTGGGGCAGAATTAAAAAAATTTAGTTTACATATTAAAAAACTACATCGACAGCTCTATAAAGCAAGAAGAAATAAGGCTATATT